TATTTCGTTATTTAGTGTTTGTCAAAAAAAGGTCCTCGCTGTTGCTAATGCGTCTCGGTGGAAGGCTATTGAGTCCAGAGCCCTCATCAAGGATCAATCGGAAGCAGCGTGGTACACCATGTACGAGTCGCGCAGTATTCCGTCATTCATTGCCACGAAGTCGATACCACCGGACGACTTTGATGACCTGCTTCGTGTCTTTTCTGTCAACTACACAGTCTGTTCCGGACCTGGGCGTCGTGAAAGGCCGCCGAGAGTGCAACAGACGCATGCTGTCCTCGCAATGCTCCTCCATTACTATACGGCTGCTGTTGAGCACAAAACATTACAAGAGCTTTTCGGTGTGTCGCCAACTACATTCTCCCGTGTGCTGCGTCGAGCAGAAGTGGCGCTGGACCGTGCATTGTCCCACATGCAGGATTCTGCTGTTCGTTGGCCATCAAAGGCCTTGCAACGGGACTGGGCTGTCTTGACGAACGCAAAGGAACCCCTCATGGAAGGTGTGTTTGCCTTTGTGGACGGCAAAAACTATCGTGTGCAAAGTCCTTCCAACGCAGACCTGCAAAATGCCCATTACAACGGTATGCTCCCCGTGACTGAGTGTGCTAATTGCATTGATAGGGTGGCTGCATTGTGTTTATGTGATGGGATGTCTGTGTTTCGGTGTCGATGGCACTTTGATTTGGGCTCGACACAACTGCCCAGGCTCATGGAACGATGGCGAGGTCAGCTGTCACCTCCAAGCACGTGTGTCTGACGAGCGTTTTGTTGCTCCGGGGATGAAGATTGCCTCCGTTTCGGCATTCCCTGTTAGTGGTCGCTGCTCTGGTCGGATTATCACCCCACTGAAAGAAGGTGACCTCGATCGCAACCCTCCATGCGACCGGTTGGCTCTGCAGACAATGAGTGACTGCATAACATCTCTCAGGCAGGCTGCAGAGTGGGGAATGGGCGCGACTGGAAAGGTCTACCGCCAGTTGTTGCTACCCCTACCGTACAACCCCTTGGTGCGAGGGCGTCGTCTCTCCAACATGTTTCAGCTCTACAACTTCAGAGTTCGCCGAACGGGACTCAGTCAAATCAAGAATGTATTTGGTGCATAGGTCGAAATAGTCAACATTAAGAAAATATGCATTTATTATGCTAAGATTGTGCCACACTACACTTTGCTTTTTTAAACTATGGCCATCAACCTTCGAACTGAAGAATGAGATTTCATCATGTTTTTGACATATATCCCAAAATCCCGAGGCCATCCTATAAAATCCAAATAATCTGACTAGATAATGTGCATTCGCTACAGATGTCGTTTCATTTGTAGAGCATTTGTGATTATTCTGACGATGGAGCATATAAATATATGCAATTCATCACTCTTGAAAATATTCTGTACTTGAATTACACATTTAACTGAATTACATATTTAACTCGATTCATTTTTCCCAAATATTTTGCCAAGAAGGAGAAACTGCAATTCGTCGCGGCGAGCTTCGCGGGCTTCCCGATCCCTGTCGGCCTTTTCCACCCGCTCTTCACGCAACCTGTCGGTCTTTTGCTGTCGCTCGTACCTCATCTCTTCACGCTTGGCATCCCGCTCCCTCATAACCATAAGGAACGTCATCATGTCGGACGATGCCTTCGCATCTGACTCCAACTCTCCTTCAATTGAGCGCCTCTTTTTTGCCGTGTACGACGGTAAACCACCGGTATCGGATTGTTTACGTTTGAGCTTGTCGCTCAGCGCTTGAAGCTCGGAGGGTTGCAAACCCGTTCGACCGACCTCAACGCGTTGATCATCCAGTTGAGTTGGTAGTTGTGACTGCATCGTGGCCGACTGAAAGGTGTCATCTAGGAGCTCATTAGAACAGAGATTGAAGAGGTTGTCATGTACCGCTACAGTCGTCGCTGTCGTCAGGTTCATCATCCATCGAAATGGTTGCATTCATCGACAGGACCGCCACAGAGCTCTCGATTTCTCTTTGCAGACGTTTTGCACGCAGGACGTCGAGGGGGGGGTAGTCGGGATGGCCGGTTGGTTTCTGAACATTCTTGAGAAGCAGGAACTTTCTCTTCAGCGCTTCTGCATCCCGATGCGGCAGAGACTGGGCAGTCGCCTCGATACCGAAACGTTGGGCAACCTTTTCCCATTGGTTCTTACCCAAGGGTAAGACCGCGGCAGCGATGTCAAGCAGCAGGTCCACTGAAGAGGGACACCACGACTTACCCCGGCCCGTCTTGGTTTTAACCATTTTGAATATGAATGGTTGTCCAGGGCTTCATGATTAACCTCTTAATTTTTGTTGCTTTAATGATTACTTTTCACGGTGCGGATGCGAGGGGAGGTCTCACAAATGAAATGGATGCAAGACGATATTTCGGTCTTCGCAACTTGCGAGCGTACTTTTATTTGAAAAATGTCTCAGCGAGAACCCGAAGAAATTATGATTTGCGAGATTTTTAGCAGGCATCTATTGGCCACCAAACCGACCACACACCAATTTGCACGTTGCATAAAGTAAGCACATCGCTACTACGTTCTAGTATAGCAATAAACTAAGCTCCATGAGGCGGATGCGGTCGCGGATGAAGTAGTGGCGGTATCGATCTGCGCACATAAGGCATGGTCGGTTTGATTGAGGTTCGATGCAGTCCGCGAAGTTGCAGCGCATTGAAATTCAAAGTGTGAAGGTAGCTGGCAAAGTCGAGCAAGCGGGAAATTTAAGCTAGCCAATCAGAATATCTCTTTTGAATTTATGACTTTCCAATCACAGAGATTATCCCAATATACATCTCAGAATTTGATTGGTAGGATTTTACTATATCTGATTGGTTATAATGCAATTTATCGACCCATTTATAAAAATATACAATGTACTCAACGGTATGATTCGAGTGTTTAACCTTGTAATTATACAATGCATATTTATATTCGTGTAGCTTTTGCAAATGGATACAAGTGCCACATTGCCCAGCTCAAAGAAGACGGTGAAATGCCAATAGGAGAGGGGAAACTACCCATGACAATTGATGGTAGTTATGATATTGTCTGTGTTAGGTTTAATTTGTTTAATTAGGTTATTCATATTTGGCTCGAGCGGCGTTGGCTGCAAGGTCAGACCACGCGCTTGCAACCAACGCGTACACTTTCCTCGTGTTTTGTTGGAATTTGATGGCGCACTCGGTGTCCACTGCGTCAATTCGTTTCGACAACGTCACATTGTAATTGTTGAAGTTGCTTACTGATCGATTGTGTACTCATGTTTGGTTAGGTGATGCCCTTGTGGTGAAATTTGGCCGAACGAAAAGTGACCAAGAAGGTGCAGGGCTCTTTCCAAAGCACGTTTATGCCAATCGACGTGCCAATGGATTTGTCCAATATTGAGGTTGATATAATTTTGAATTTTGAAATTATAACGAATATTTTTTTTATTAGCCTGGCAATTATTGTATTCACGCGAGGGCTTCCAAGCAAGGAGAGTTCAACGTTGCTCTTTCGCGTGAACGCCTAGGCCCGATTTTCGAAGTGGTGACGCAAAGTGTGTGCTGCGAACGAAGCGGAGATCGTTGTCATGGTCATGTCAATTTCTCACATTGGCATACACTCGTTCCGAAAAGCGTGGCAACATCGCTGTAGAACTCGCCGGGGGGGCACAGGCTGTATCCATTTGGCTGCGCGCTGGATGGAGTCTTGGCAGCGTTCAAAGGTGCTACATGTTTGAGGAGTCAGGGGGTGATCAATTCGTCGGCCGTGCGGTAACAGGTTCAAATAGTGAACTAAAATTCACTATTAAGTATAATTATTCATTATTTATAGTTAAGTTAATAGGGCTCCAATTAAGTGATTTTGGTTCGCTACCTTCTCATTTCGCACGAAGCGCAGCACTTTCGTTGGAGAAGCACTTGCCAGGCTACGCAACTGAGTGCCCAGCCTGTTTTCGCTGCGTGTTACCCTATCTGCTGGCTTTGTTGGCATTTTACCTCGAGTGGTTGAAAGTGACGTTTAGTCCGGGACATCCTCTGTTTATGTCGACGTTGTGGTGTTCGGATAAATTGAACCACTTGTCGCAAGTGGTACACAGTGGCGTGATGTCAAATTCAACAACCGGAATGGTGGCTACTGGTGTGCCGCCCAACGTCGTCATGGTTGATCAGCTAAACCAACTCGAAAACAAGTTTAACTTGTTTGAGAAAATGTCATGGGTCGACTTGAATTAATTCCTCATGAAACTCAGCAGTCAGCTACAGTCTAGTTCGGCCCCGGTCACAGTATCCATCATGAACGACTCGTTCGTAAATCTAAGGTCTCAGCTATTGCCGGATATCAAATCCACCCCACCCCCACCGTTCCCTGATCCAGCCACTGTGGGATTGTCCACTCACCCGTGCTCAGTGCCGCCATTGCCCTCGGTACCACCACTGCCCCTTGTGTATTCAGCGAGCCCAGTTTGCCCCACGGGCAAAACATTTGATTTATGGACGGCATGGTGGCTTGGTGACCCCGACAATCGTGTCCCTGCGTTGAGGTCGTTGCGCCGAAATGATTTTTATCGTGGCGCTGACAAGGTCAATTATGACAGCACCACAAAAAACGCTATTTACGAAAGTGGAATGCGCGAGATTTGGTCTGCCAAACGGCGCGTAGACGAAATGTAGTACCTTACGTTCTATGAATGAATCAAGAAATTTCAGATTACTTCACAATAATATCAATAGTCATATTCAAACATTATTGCTGTCCAAACTGGGACCTCCAAATACAAAGTTCGTCTTGTTCTTCGCCGATATTGTCGTTGCAAGTTATTTACAATTCTGTACACGCATATAAGCAATTACCAAGGTCTAAATGAGAGTCAAAACGTGCGAGAATGCGTCGGTCATGTTGTGCAGCATTCACTTGACGTGGTTGCGCGGAAACATGAGAACTTGTGCCAACATTTCCCAGTGTTCGACGATCATTTGTGTTCGCAACTTGTTAAATCGTGCTCTCCTAAGGTCGATCGTATCCACTGAAAGGTCGTTATCAATTTTGAAGTCGTGTTTGAGCAACTTACCGTGTGGTTGTGGGCGCATCTTGGGTATATCCCCATGTCCATTTTGTTAAATAAATTGCAAAAAAGAGAAACAAGAACCATTGTATATTACTGTATTACAACTCTGCATGACCGTACTTCTTCTTAATTCCTACGACTAACCCTTTTGAAGTAGGTTGTGCCCGAGGTACCCGGTGGAAAGTACCAGCTGCGCCACAGACATTCGTCGAAGAACGGAGGTAACAGATCTGAGACCGTACCTCGCATAGTCTTGATTTGTCACTTGGCTTGATTTTCCTATAGATCTTCGATGCGTTGGGTGTGGGCACCAGTGGTGGGGTCAACGAAGTTGTCAGTGTGGTTCACCCACTGGTGCACTGGTGCCCATACCTCATGTCTTCAAGGTCTCTGTTTTTGGCAAGAGTATGGACTTCGTTCGTTGACACGTACGACCCGAACTTGTCCGACATAATCAGAGTACGTGCTTCTTGATCAACGCTAAGAGCGTGGGTTTCGTACGGTCCTCACCGACCAATATGCCGAACCACCGCTTGGTTGCCCGATCGACACTCCCAAAGAGCCAACGGTCTGGGTGAACTTCACCACGGCCGTACTTTGACTTCTTCTTCAAGGACGTCTCGTCGATTTCGATGACGTGTCCTTCACCGCCAATCTAGGGCAGCAAATAAACAATTTAGATGAATAAATAATTTTAAGCAGTTTAAATGAATATATATTTGACAGCAATTACGATGAGTAAAAATTGGTTAACAATTTGACGAATAATTAATTGTAGAATTTTACCTTCATTTCGCTTGCAAGCATTTCAGCCGAGCAAATATCTCGGCAATAGTTGTACCAATTGCATGCGGTGTCCGTCGACACTCCTTCCTCATCCATGACAGTCTTGGCTGGCTTGTGCGAAGCCCACGCGTATAACAGACGCAAGAGCGTCGTTAGTGGTAACTTCGACTTCGCAAAGAACGAGCCAGCGCGGATACTCTTTTCGACCGGGCGGTCGGCGTGGGGCTTCTTCTTGCATCGCCAGCGCCAACCGTTCTATGTCGTCGACAGCATCATATTCTTTGCGCATGGAGGACACGCTATTGAACCCTCCAGGAGGCCAACTTGACGACACCACAGCACACAAGCATCTTCCGAAGCGGTGACCTCCAGTAGGGTTCGGTACGTGAACCCGTCCAGTGCCGACAAGTCGTACATCGCGGGTCAAATTTCAGGGTTGTACCTATTTCCCATTCATTTGACTGTGTAATTTTTGCTGTTTCCGCCGAGATGAAGCCAATACCAGGGGTTGTAGTTTTTTTGTCATTGCTAACTACTTGTGACGTGCAGATGTGGAGTGCCTGAAGATACAGTGGAACTCATAAATTAATAGTGGTACTCTGTTGTATTTTAATTCCCGTTTGGGCAAAAATATGGACAAGGCGATATACCCAAGGTGCGCCTGGTTGTGGTCAATGTGGCGCTCGATGAGCTGGAACAATGTGTACTTTCGCTCGCGTGAGACGACAGAAACGTGGGTCACTTCAGTCCCTACCGTTCGTCATCACCGAAGCAGGATGCCATGGGACTGCAGGGGTAGCATAGCGTGGGGTGCGGCGATCGGCCACGTCGATCCATCGTCGGGAGAGTGCAGGATGACTTCTGACTCCACATTGGGTAAAACTCATGATAGTGAGTGTTAAATCATAGAGGAGTTCATGGATAGCTCGTAAAGTGTCCAATAAAGGAGGATATATTTATTCCGGCAGTAGAACGACTTAGAATAACTATCTGAGAGAAGAAGTGAAGTAAAGAGAGTGTAGACGCAGTTATTAGGGTTCTTGCTCGGATAGAGAAACATTTAAAAGTGAAACGGGAGTAAAAAGATTAAAAATCCTATAGATTTAGGGTGCGTCTGGTAACATTTCAAAAATAATATTCCATTTTCTCGCAATATGGGATTAACTTAAATACCACTTTCAAGATGGAGGTAAAAGGTCCATTTTGTACTATGGCCTTTCGGACCCTTTCAACGAGTAAATCCCACGTGGAATTATTGGATTTGGGTCAAATCCCTTACAGCAAGACATATTCCAACTTTGATAAGATTTGTTGAATTCGGCCCCAAAATGTCTTTTTGAGCCTGAATATTGCAATATTTCCGGTTACCTAGTCAAATAATAATATAAAGAAAAATAATTTGTCTTTCTATTATTTATTTATTGACTAGTTTGTCTTCATCCTTTACACCCTATCGGTATCGGGTATTGTAAAAAAGGTAAGATATTAATTAAAACATGATTAAATATTGTTCGAAATCCGGATAAATCCGTATGAATTGAATGACTTACGTTATGATTGGAAATCGTAAGACGACATGTACACGTCAATTTATTTTGTCCAGTAAATGATTTAATCCACAGTGATTGGACAAAATCCAATTCGTGCATTGTTCACAGCACTTTCAAAACAGACAAAGTCCAGGCATCACTTGGCCACGGCGAACGCCTCCACAACATCGAATTCGGTAGGATCTGATCTCAACTTTCATTTTGTTGACAGCTCGTAGTGGGCTTGCATTTTGTCCATCAGCATCTTCCATGCTGAGAACGCCACCTTGACGGTACGTGATGGCAGGAAAATGGGCAGAATTTAAGGTAAGGTCTCACATGGACACTAGGATTACCAAGCCACCACAGCCGCCACGCAGATGCAACGTCAACGCTCGGCAAAACAAACGACTCAGGAAAAACGTGCCACCCCATTCAAATGGCTGATTGGTTTCGTTTGTACTGGAATTTCCAGGGGCGGCGGTTTGACTTTGAGTTGGAGGGGCTGCCGTTGTCGATAAAACTTCGATCAACGTTGCTTTCAGGACTTCTTTCATTATATTGCCCGCACTAATGCCCTTCCAATGTGGTAGACAGACAACCCGTCCAAAACAAGTTGTGGAATTGAAAGAATCGCGCTGTTGTTACTTTCAAGCCTGGTATAATCCTATAAAATAATGTGAGAATGAGGATATTTTAAATTACGTACTTCCACATGAGGAGGAATTCCACTTGCTTGAATAAACTGAGATGTGTAGCCAGAAATCAGGTTGCGTTGCAAATTCTCCAACATCGCTGAGTTTGTGAACAATGTTGTTGATTTCAACGCATGTAGTGCTGGAAGCAGGGTGTTTAAATACACAAAATGGTAGACCGTACTCGCCAACGCCATTTTTAGCAAAGGACGCAATGTGACCTTCTCACATAGACCCGGAAACATGACTTTCAAACTTGGCTCCAACAAAGGGGCGCTGTTGGCTGGGAAGTGCGGAGGCAACACTGCAAACTCGTGGCTGTTGACGGCAAGCCCCACCACCACCCTACCCATGTACTGGTCCCCAGCAGCCTCGTATCAATAATATCGCTCCATGACATTGCCCTATGACCAGCCGCACCTCAAACACACAGAGACAATTGAAGGGCCAGCAGTGCTTCCGGAGCAAGCGTACGTAGCGATGCCTTTTATGATAGAGTGCGTGCCCATATCATTCTTTCCCTTCCGCTCGAGCCCAGTAGCACGATTGGTAGTTCCTATATTTACATTGAATCATATATATTATAATATATATGATCACAGTGTAGTTAAAGGTACACTGTGCTCACCTTCTTAGCTTTGTTTTCGTTTTAAAAAATGTATTGCCAATTGCATCACCTTCCCATGACATGTGATCAAACCTACTGTAGTACCGTGTACCCGTTGTAATATACTACGTAGTACTCTACAACATTCATCATTTGGAGACGTACCTTTTCGTTTCCATTGACACATTAAATTCCAAGTAAGAACAAGGAACAGATGGGCAAATCTGCCATCGTTAAGCAGCAAGGACTTCGAGCAGAGGTCCTCATACGTCACATACGAAAGCGGACGCTTTCCCGTTTGTTCGCTGGCACCACTTTGAAGGTCGTTAGCGAGTGTTTTTCTAATTCCTTTAAGTTTTGTTGACGCAATAAATACATAATTAGGATAATTATCAGAAAATATCTCTTTCATGTCATCTCGTGTTCATCCGGAAGGGCAACTGGCTGATCTTTGTGGAGACTCTTGATTGCAGACCGATAACTGCTTAGGTTGAAACATCCACCGTTTTGTTCTGCACCGTCCACGTGATAAATGCGAGGAAGTGTTCGTAGGTAAACAAATGGAGGTCGAAGTTATACCAGTCAGACGATTCGCCGCAAGGCATGAGGAGGTCGTCCAATTCTTGACGTCTCACCCAAACTTTCACTTGGTTTATGGCGGATCTGTAACCCACTCGAGTTGATGCACTTAAGATTCAAAGTGTCCACAAACTTGTACATCATCATTGACTGCTATTGATCTGAATTGCATAATTATAATTGGCTAGATTTAGCGTAAGATGGATGGTCTACGAATTCGTTCTGTTCTGAATAAAATGTTTACTTTACTAACTCCAAGGCAATTTGAGTATTTTTCTGGTGAAAAAGAATTTGTAGACAACTCATCCTATTCTTGCATTAAAATTCCAAGTTTCATCTAACGTTTTACTCGAAGTATTATAAATGTGAAACATGTATCTTTGTGAAAATGTAGCGACAGGGAAAGGTTGATACAACACATGCACAGTTTCTTTTCTCCTCGAGCATGAGCGTTGCGTACGGCATCGAAGTCGAGGCCACGGAGATACCTGCTGCCATGGAACCAGTCCACCGCATCAACGACGCCCTGCGCTCCATGATCATGACACAGGCCCAGACGGTGCTCTTCACGACGCATTTGGATGACGGTGTCAAGGTATGCGATGCGACCAAGTCCGATTGGAATCGGTTCGTCAACTCAGAGTACCAAGAGCTCATATCCCGAGCTATGATGTGGCGAGATGGGGCTATCTACATCGTCGAACCACCAGGAGGGATCCACGAAGATATGAACTGTATTCTAATTTTTGTCATCGCGGCCGCAACTGGAACCTTCGGCATGCACCTCCAACCACACGGAGCGACTTTTGTCAATAGCCTATAACATATTGAAGCTGACGAGAGCTTTGGGTCGGCCCCAAGTATCGGCGCAGTCATTCCTGCAAACCTCGCTTGGAATGAGTTCCACAGGTTGAAGATTGAAGTCGGCGTCTCACGTGGCTGGCGGTATTTGGATCCTAATGTCATTCGCTAGGCAATTTTCCCTGACGTCGCCTACATTTTGTGCATCTACATATCGCAACACATTGAAGTGTACCAGTACAAGCTCCACTCTGTCGAGCCCTACCAGCAGTGGTTCCTTTCCAATCTTCGGTGTGACCAGACCACGTTAGCCCGTCTTGTCCACTGGTTAACCATAACCCAGCCAAGGTCACTCGGTACAGCTTTGAGGAACGGGTCGCAGTGCTCCTCTACTTTCTGGGTTCACAGGGTGGCTACCCGAGACTGCTGCTGTCTTTGGAATGTCCAAATCATGGTGCATTGAATGTGAGGCTCTACTTGCGTCTGTGGTCTCCAAGCATGCCAAAGAATGGATCTTTCGTCGTCGCTCCGACACGGACTGGACAAATGTGGAGATCAAATTCATGGAAAGGCAAAATATCCCTGGTGTTGTCGGGGCTATTGACGGCACATTAATGACCAAATGATTACGACGGATTTTACATCAGAAATGGTGACCCTTCCCTAAATATACAGTACAAGCAGTTGTAGATGCAACCCAACGATTTATGTCTGTGGTCGTTCGACCAGGCTCATATTCATATCTGAAAGGTCTCGTCATTTGGCAAATCCATCCACCATAAGGTGCCTGCTGTTTGCAACATTATTGGTGATGCTGGATATACATTGTTGCTTTGGCTGTTAACACCGTATTTACCCCACAAGGAAGGTGGAACGTTGTCAAAGCTGCAGAAGAATTACAACTTCAAGCACTCAAGTACCCGGATGGTTGTTGAATGTGCGTTTGGGAGACTAAAGGAGCGATTTCGAGTGCTGAAGTCAGTCCTGAATGAGAAGGCCCTGGACCAGACGCTAACAATTGTGCCGACCTGCTTCGTTTTGCACAACATGTGTCTGCACTTCAACGACGAGCTCTTCAGCATCCCCTGTGCCGTCGCGATCGCAATGACCACACTCAAGAGCATGACGACGTTGACTATGAGACAAGTAAAGTCCACCGGCAGGCAGCAAAGTTGAAACGCAACGGAATTGCAAAAATAATATTTAAATAATGCAAAGGGCACAATCAATGAATGAATTCATTAATGCATTATGAAAATGACCATAAGATGAAATTATTGATTCTTATCTGCCAAACGAGCCAAACAAAAGCTTATCATTGTTGCAGATTGGACATTGAGAGCTCGGACTACGTCGTCTAAAGTGGCCCCAGCGACCCCCATCGAGGCCGGTTGCTGGGCACTGTTCAAGGAGGTGCTAAGGAACACGAGGCCTTCCTTAATGGCGTTAAAGCCAGCGTCTCCTTGCCGACGAGCAGGAGGATTTGCCTCGCGCTTTGCGCGTTTGGTCGCGGGCTTTTCATCGGCGCTGTCCACATCTAAAATATGTTGAATCATGGTATCTCAAATAAAAACAATCGTAGCTGTTAAATCAACATATCACCCTCAAATATATTGCAACAAAAATCATATCAATGCAACAAATATAGGTTCCTGTCCTTGATTATTGGCGTCATCGAGAGTAGGACCTCCTTGCGATCGCCCGCCCTCATGCAGGCAGCAAACAGTGCAATGAAGTGTTCACTCATGTGTGTCCATCCATCGAGAACCACTCCGAACTTGTCCGGCAGTTCCTTCACGATGTCTTCAACGACAGAGGCGCGCAGCAGATGCATGTACAGTAAACCACGGAATGGTATGCCATCCGAATTTTCGGATACGACAACTCGACTTTTGGCCAATGATAGTCTATTATGTAAATGGTGCGATTTCATTGGCTATTGATAATATTCTACCGAGAGCGCGACTTTAAAACATTAGGAGCTGGCTGTTCATTTAAAAATCAATGCACCCAACACTGCGGCCAACAAAGCGGTCGTACCCGGTGTCCTTCAAGCTTCATGCGCTGCAGCTGTTGCGCATGAAGCTTAAAGGACACCACAGCACAGCTCCAAGTGTCCGAGGAACTTGGTGTACCAAGCCGCACCATTCGTTCGTGGAAAACCAAAAGGACGACATCTTGGACTACCGTGGGAACAAAAAGCGCATGAAAATTAGCCTGGTGGCCGCTGTGAAATCTTTCCCGACCCAAATGGACTCTTCGAGTATATATCCGAAATGCGGGTACGCGAGGGCACGCTAACAACGACGTACATTATCAACTGGATTAAACGACATCAACTAGAATGGCTCCGTCTATATCTTGCGGGCAAGAAAAGATGGCAAGGGATACCAATGGTTTCTGCGATCGGCATGGATTCTCACGTCAAAAATTCGGACACAGCAACCAGTCCAAAGCTGCCCTCATCACAGTGCGGGACGAGTTTGCCGAGGACTTCCACCATTCCTACCGCGCGTTCGACGATGAGACGATCTACAACGTGGATGAAACTGGATCCTACTACGACATGGCTACATATGGGATGTACGTGGAGGTGATGCCAAGATCTCTTCGGTTGAGAAACACTCATTGCGGATGACAGTCGTGCTTACCGTGCGTGCCGACGGCTCCAAGTTGCCCGTGTTGTTCATAATCCATGGAATGCCACGCGGACGCATTGACTCGCATGAGCGGCAATCGTATCCGCCGGGCCACTTCTACGCAGTTCAACTCAAGGCGTGGATGGACAATGAAGTGTGGAAGACGTACCTGCGATCGTTGCTCTTGCCTAAACTGTCCGAGCCGTCCATTCTCCTGCTCGACAACTTTGAGTCCCACGTCAGCGAAGAATCATACTCGATTGTTACCGATTAGTTGGGCTGTCTCTTGGTGCCACTTCCACCGAATACCACGTCCATATGCCAACCGTTAGATGTTGGGGTCATGGCGCCGTTCAAACGTTACCTTCACGACGCATGGCTGGCCGAGGAGATTATCGATGGCGAGGATGGAGACGACTTCGACACTCCAAGTGCTACCCAGTAGCGACTCGCAATGATCAAGCGAGCGATTCTATCGTGCTAAAAGGTGCGTGCCGAGGTCTGACAGACACTGCTTTCCAGTCGGTTTATAACTTCGAAATTTTAATGTTTGCACTTATTTGTATTAGCTCTTGGATGTACTTTTAATATTTTATGCTATTTTAATACATTTGGAAAAAGTTTGACACTGCCCGGGATTTGAACCTGGGCCCCTTCCTCTATCATCTTGATGCCGTCGCACTAACCGTTGCGCCACTGCGTCAAAAGCTATCTTTTCATTGCAATCGTCGTATTGATTGAAACTAATCCGCAAGAATCTATATCCTGTGATAATGATTCCGCGAAAGCTTTGTTTGCAATGGAAGAGTTCTTCCTTTTCATAACCTGTGATAAAATTTAAACCAAACTTTTTGGCTGAATAAAAATACAGTTACTGGCTGTCATTGGCTATTTTTGTAAACGTAGTTCGAACTACCAGACCCAATCACTTCACAGTATTCTCAGTGTCTCGAAGATAAAAGTGGCGTACCATTCCGTCGTTCACTGTAGTGCTTTGTTTGATTGTGCGATAGTCCCTTGAAGGGGTTGTAGTCACGGATGTGCTTCGTTTCAAATCAGCTGAAAGGCAGATTGTCGCTGATAATACAATTAATACAATCGTCTTGAAGGCGACTTCATTCTTGGTGTTCACGAACGCTGATAGGATGAGGTGCGCGTCGAGGCCGCCGTAGGTTGACTGAGACATAGTCTTCTGCCAAGTAGCAGTGTGATTGTACGTCACATGGGGCGAACATTGCTCTTCCCAGAAGATTTCTTGGCCCGAACAATGAATGCCCTTGGGAGTCGGAGGATACTTGAATGTCATGGCACCGAAAACGGTTAACTACAATCGGGGGAGCGAAGAAAATATCCACGATTTCGTTCGTGGTCCAAACCTCACACGCGGGTTGGGGTCAAAGGACTTGCTGGCGTGTTCCGGTCATTTGGTATTGGTGTTGCGTGGATGTTGCGAGCTGTTTCGAGTCCCGAATGCGAGAGAAGTTGGGAACATGTGAGCCAGCCAAAAAAATCACCAGTCAAATTGTAGGGTGCTCATAAATTGTCCAATCAGGGATACTATATTGGATTCGGGAAACCCATATTATTGCGATATTTCTTGGAGCCCAATAAAATAACAGCAATAATTCTCTGGAAAACAATACTTATGGTAATATTACGTGGGGTCCAATAAAATAACTGAAATAATTCTGGGGAAAACAATAACTATTGCAATATATTTCGCTCTCCAATAAGTACTACTCTGATCCATATTGATTGTCAGGTAGATTTAACCTTGATCCATGTATTCAAACTTCGATTATACCTCATTATTCGAATAAAATCAGAAAAATATATTGTATTACAGAGGTGTATACACTAAATCCGCTGGCCAGGTAGATTCGTGGCGAAGGCGTGGAAGTGGACGTGTTGTAAGGGATCCCAGACGAAAGATGACGATGTGATGGCAATACGTAATGTGTAGAACTACCTTATTAGGCGCCACAGGCGAGAGGTGATCCATGGTGCGGTTCTCAGAGTGGATTGGCGCGACGGCGGTCAAACATGGTGGCGGCAGATTTTGGGGTATAAAGCTCTACGTTCATGATTCGGGCCAAGCGCCCGAAGCCACTCGATTGAGTGTTTTACGCCTCTCGAGCCATGATGGCTACGGTCAAACAACCGGCCTCGGTCCGTGGCATTCACAGCGCGACATGCCACACGATAGATTGCACGAAGCTTTCTTGTGCACTCGTAGCATATTGCCACTATCTATGCTAAAAATACCCATTGCACAGTTGCGACGTCGTAGAGTGCGTTTTATGCTTGTAGCATCACCCGAAGCCACACGGATGGTGAGATTTTCACCATGTAGTAGGTCTGTATGTCAGGGCCAACACTGAATGTGGGGGTGACCTTAATGAACGAACAATAGATCTATACTGTCAGGTGCTATAACCGAGAGCAAGTCTTTCATAGGGTCATCATGACTATATGTCAGCATGGTGTGGTCATCTACTTTCACTCGAAGCTGCATGGCACAACTAACGAGCAGAACATCTTTGGATCTCGCTAGAATGTGTACTTGCTTCGCATAGGGTTAGTACGTCTATTGGGCATCGAGTGCACGAGATAGCAATGGCATTTAACGCTGACCGGATGATTTTCTTTTTACAAAATCGACCTCATGCTCTCTCAAGCTTGTATCTCCTGCAAAAAAGTGCTTTCTGAGGAGCTCGAACTAGCCAATCAAAGAGAAGATAATTACCTTTCCAATGCACCAATCAGTTCAATTCAAGTAGTAAATTTAGACGAATGTCACCACGCCAAAAACAATGTGATAAACATTACGGACCAGAGTGGTAGTGGCCAGGGAGATGAGGGAAATATGGTATAGTATTCAAGTGGCTTTCTACGAATTAATCCAATTGTGTGAAGAAATCCTTGTGCTGCACTTGGTAGTTGCCATGCTGGACGAGAAATTAGTATTTGTCGTTCATCGCTTGTTGGTTTACGAATGGAATCATTTATCCGAGATATACTGAAAAACTAGTATCTACTATATACCGCAACATACTAGCCAACATTCAAGAAGACTCACGAATCTTCGCGGAATTCAAAATTTGCAATGTTTGAGCGAGGATATCGCTGCAAATAGTAACTCATCCGCTCTGAATTAAATGGATCTTGAAAAAATTAGACCGCATTCTCAGCATACAGCTATGTATAAATTCTTTGAAATGTAGATGGATGTAGGCTGTTGAATCTGACATCCAAAACACGCATTCAGAGCAAAAAATGACGAATTCGTAGTTTTGGACTCCCTCTCATTGGTTCAAATCAGCATTCGATGCGAATTGCGACATGGATATCAGAACCCTGTGCTGTGAAGAATATATCTGGCATAATATCGTCATCCAAATGTCTGTACTTGCGGCTTTATCGTCCCTTCTACAGGATCTACAAGTGGTACTCACCAAAATTGGATTACTTCTAGCCGTTCGAAATTCTCTGTAGTAAGTACGAGAACATTCTATTTTGACTTCATTGAAATTTTTTATTGCATTTGTGTCTTAAAATATGCATTACAGACAACGAGGGAATTTAAGGCTCATCGAATTTTGATGTTTCACACAAGTTATTTCAACCAATGAGCAGCAAATCCAAAATTACTCGATTCCTATTGGTGAAATTAATATTCACGCGCCAAACTAAAAAGCGCGCGTGACAACCTTCGTGTCCGCTGCACTCACAAGCGGATTCCACCCACGATCCTCA